AGACTTTTAAAAAGTGAAAACGCGAAGTCGAAAGCTACCGAACCTGCGGCAACTTCCCAAATCCCACCCGAAAAGGAGCAAAACTCACCTAAAAGGGAGCAAAAAAAAAAAGTAAAAGCTCCAGTGTTGCTATTTTTTTGTTGTTGTCACTCTTGTTTTTGGAGAAACGTCGTGCTCTGTTCTGAGAAAGGGGAAGCATTGGGGCCATTGGCTCCATGGGGCCGTGCGTCCTCTGGCCCCTTCCGTGTGACCCCCCCAGGAAAGCAAAGAGGGGTGAGTTGGGGTGATGCAGAGGGCAATGCTGAGGTCTTTGTAATGGAACCTGGGAGGTGCTGCAAGATGGGACGCAGGGGTGATGCCTTTAGGGCTTACATGGATGGATTTGGGTACGAGGCTCCTCCATTGCTGCCCTACATGCTCATGTCTTGCTGACACACTTGGCCTCAGCTGCACCCAAGGGCACCCACCGGCCGCACCGGCTCTTTTCTTTATTTAACCCTCCCCGAGTGCAGGATCGAGGAGCCACTTCCACATTTCCCCCCACAATGGCCACGGCCAAAAAGCCCTGGAGCCGTTTTTGATCCCGCTGCCCGGCCACCTCGCTGCAGATGCTCAAACCACAGCGCCTTCGCCCAGATGGACACGGCTAAAAATACCGTGTGGCTACCGAGGGTCCTGCAGCTGGGACTGAGGGGTGAGCTAAAAATAGGGCGAGTTTCAGAAGATCACCCAATGTGGGATGAAACTTGGTCTGCGTGAGCTGAGTGTGGCTAAGGGCTGAGTGCTGCTCATGGAGGAGGAATAGAGGAGCACGATGCGTGGCTTTATTGGGGCATCTTCGCTACATCCCTGCACCGATGGTGTTTGCTATGTGGGACTCATGCATGTATCACAGGTTGGATGTTAAGAAATATTTCTTCTCCAACAGAGTGGTCAGGCATTGGAACAGTACAGGGAGGTGGTGGAGTCACTGTCCCTGGAGGTGTTTGAGAACCATGGAGATGTGATACTGAGGGGCATGGTCAGTGCTCATGGTAGGATGGGTTGGGGTTGGGCTTGGTGTTCATAAAAGTCTCCAACCTGAATGATTCCGTGATTTAGTGGTGCTTTACCACTACCTCCTTGCTCCACCAGTGTTTGCTATGTGAGGCTCATGCATGGATTTCACAGGTTCATAGCGTGGCTTGAGTTGGAAGGGACCTGAAAGATCGTCTGCCACATCTCAAAGATCATCTAGGGTTTGCTATGTGGGGCTCACACATGGGTTTAGTAGGGCATTACCACTACCTCCCTACATTACTGGTGTTATTTTATTATTTCTGAGGAGCTCACGCATGTATTTAGTGGGGAATCCTCAAGATATTCTACAATTCTATGATTTTATGATCACTTCTACCTCCGTGCACCACTGCTGTTTGCTATCTGGGGCTCATCGTCAGCACAAGGGGCTGCCTTATTGAGGACCAGAGTTGTTAAATCTGTGCCATACTCACAAATTTCTCTTGGGTGGGATGAAGCTCCCTATAATTCCATGCAGCTGACAACACCCGTGCCAACCATCCTGCCCAGAGGATGCTCCAGCTGGCAGTCACATGTACGTTCAGCCATTTGGTGGTGCCATGCTTGAAGGTCACGGTTGGCTCCCCTCTGAGCCTGGGTTGAGCCCACGGGTCGCTGTGCCCTTCCTTGCACAAGCCCTGCTGCTTCTCCTTCCTCACACTGGGTGAAATCAGAGCTGTTATTTCACAGCGCAGCTTGTGATTTATGGCTGTAATCTCAACCACAAGTTGAGCTGGCAGTAGTTAGGGGAGCCACGAGGAATAAGCAAAGGGCTCGCTGTTTGTTTCTGCATCCTCTCTGCTCTTGAGGTTTTTATTTCTTCAAGGCGAGAGCAAGGAAATATGGCTTTCTGCTGAGTAAAGAGGGGGCAATTAAAAGGGAAAAGTGCCGGGGATTTGTGCTGAAGCAGCTCGTGTTCGGGCGAATTTCTGATCTCTGAGACTTGAGGTCACCATGGGAAACAGAGCAATGCATGGGACGCAGTGCGGGCAGCTCCAGGAGCAGATTTAGGGGTGGCTGTGTCCCTTCTTCCCCTCTCTGCTGCTCCATCATTTACTTTTATGGCTCTCAGCTGTGAATCTGCCGCAGTCCTTCTGGGAAGCGCAGTTTCGCATTGATCTTAATGGGTCCTTAAATCAAAGGCATCACTGAAGGGATGCATTGGCCAAATGGTTCTGTGCTTCTCCTTCCAGAAAGGGATGGGCTGTGGGTGCACGCCATGTCTGAAACTCAGAAACGCAGAGAAACTCGGTGCAGGGCTGAAAATCCCAAACACCAGCAGCCAGCCAAGTAACAGCACTGTCATATTCATGATGATTATTACCATTCTTGCTTATTTTGATCTTTATTTAAGATTTGCAGTTCTGATTTCCCCAGTTTTTCTTTGCCTAGTTTTTCAAGAAGCCAACACCAAACATTGACACGGAAGCCCAGAGATGCCATAACCCCAAATTTTCCAACATGGGAGCAGGTAGAATCATTTACCCCATGACCCGCAATGTGCTCAGAAGAAACCCACCATGTTCTGCCTGCTTTTTTCTCATTTTACAAAAGAAAAGGCTATTTTTCAGGCTTGCTGTAGCCCACGGAGGAGGCAGACAACATTAAGCCAGCTGAGGAAATGACCAAGCACTAACTCCCCTGCAAGGTATTCATTACATACAATCTCTGCAGTAACCCCACAGTTATTTTCCAAGATTAAAAAAAAAAAAAGTTCTTCCTTGGCCTTTCTCATTTGCTGATCTACTTTGACATTTATTAGCAATTATTTATTTCCTTCCCCGTTGGCTGTTTGTGGTGTAGTTTTTCAACAAAATAGGCATTACTCAATAAGAACCTCTGCAAAAAGGCAATTATGAAATGCGACGGAGCGCGTTGCAGGGACTGAAAGAGGGGTTGGGGGCCCCTTGTGACACAAGAGGTCTGTTCTGGGATTGATGGAGCTGAGCAGGAGCAGGTTTGGTCCCTTCCAAAAGGGCACAGGGACTGTCCCTGCTATTTGCATCCATTGCATGGCACGGAAGGAGGCGGCGTATTTAGCAAAATGGCTTTTGGCACCTCGTGGGTGATAAGTTCCTTTGTCCCCATTGGGTTTGGTGATGAGGAAGATTGGAAGAAAACAGGATTCTTGTTCCTTAATGAAAACGATCTGTGCAGGAGGGCTCCCATGAGTTCCCAGAAAGCCACAAGGTAGTGCAGAAACGAAAAAGCTTCCAGCCGAGCGCAGCGGGAGGGTTTCCCCATTTCACCCTTCTGCAGAGCAGAGCTGCTTGGCTCTGCAAAATCCCCCTGAGAGCCACTTTCCTGAGAAAGGGTTTATATGGCTCTTTGCACGCAACAAGCTGCATCCATAGGGGAAACAAAGCTCTGTATCGTGATAAAGGGGATTGCTAGGAAATAAAGGTGCATTTTGCAGCCGTGCATCACTGATGGGCGTGGTGCTGGGGACAGAGGTGGGGGGCAATGCTTGGGGTGATGCTGGCGGCGACGTTGGCCCCTCTCATCCTACCCCGTTGGGGAAAAACATGCAAAACCCATCCCAGAAGGGGCTGGGGGAGGGGAGGAAGCAGTGCGGGGTGAGAGCGTGAGCTGCTCGAGGGCGGGGGACAGCCCGCGCCGTTCTGCTCCGCTGCAGCTCTCACCCAAAATTATCAGCCCTGCTGCTGTAGTTTTTGCTGGGGAGGGTAACTTGATTTTCATTTTCCGAATCATTTCCTGGCCAGGACCAAAAGAAGGCTGGGTTACTCAGCACCAAGAGCTACAGAGCTGGGTTGGTTCTGCTGAGTGCTTTCACGCAGAGTTGGCTCTATCAGATCCATAGAAGCTGGAGATGGAGCGTTGCACAGATTGCTCTGAAGTGTGAATTTGACACTGTGCAAACCACTGTGGCCTGTGTGCATGCTGTGGGACTGACGCTGCTGCAGTAGCATGGCATCCATTATGCAAGAAGAACCCCTCCAGGCAATGATGTGCTTGCTAAATCATCCATGCTCTCATAGGCAGTGTGCATCAGCCTCTGCTGGCACCAAATGCCCCCTGAGATGAGATGAAGCTCAGCCACAGAGCTGCAACTTCATGCAGCTAAAATACAAGAAGTTTATTCAGTGCATGGATTTCTTTACGGCCAGTGAGTTTTAGCAGTTGCTACTGAAGAAAAAACGATATTTTTCTGCTTGTGCAAAATATTACCATGTCGCTTGCAAAAGGAAAATGCAACTTTCAAGCAAGGCAAGGCCATCCCTGAAATTAGGAGGGACAAATTCTGCTGGAAGAGGTGCATGAGGATCACTGGGGAAAGTACCTCGCTAGAATTAACAGCTGGAGAGCAGCAATGGAAATATTCATGTGTATGATCCCCAGCCAGTAAAAGGCTCTGCAGCATTAATTAGAGCTGTTGACTGAAAGCAGAGGCTGGCTGAGCTCTGCTCTGATCACAGGGCTGAGTCATGGAGAACCACGTGCTGCAAGGTTGGGGAAAGGAGAGCACTGGGCTGCAGGTGGGATTTTCCATGGTGCTGGGTGATGGAGCATTGCACAAATAGCATTTAGTGTGGACCTGTCTGCCTGCTCCTTGTGTGGGCACTGACTGCAGCCAATGGAGCTCAATGAGGCAGTGGTTTGCTCTCTCATAGGCATCCCAGGAACGTGGAGATGGATGGAGAAGCCACTGCAGTACCAAAAGGTGGAAGGTGATGGTTGGACTAGATGATCTCAGTGGCCTCTTCCAACTTCAACCACTCCATGACTTTATGAAAACAGAGAGGATGGAGACCCATCTCCATTATCCCACTGGAGGCAGAGCCCTGCACACCTGGGCTCGACGCGAGGAGCCTGGCCTTGGGGTGCTCTGCACTTCAGAGAAAGTCTGAGGGCTGTGCAAACCACTTCCTCAAACTCATTGCTGCTCTGCCACCATTGGAAGCAACAAAGACTGCTGCAAAACATAGACATGTGCACCGGGTGGTACTGGGGGAAAACATGGGGGAGAATGAAGAGGGTGCCTGCCCTGCCCTGGGGGATGGCACTGTGGGTCCCTGCCCATGGCTCTATCCTTCTTTATCCCCCAGGCACAGCCTGAGGTTGTCTTAACCGAGGACACCTTTCCCCATTCCTGAGCTCTCCTTATGGAGCCACATCCTTCCAATGCACTTGGAATAACGAGATGGTCCCTTGGAGCAAAGCTGACCCCAAATGACCCAAAGGGCAGGCAGGTTGGGCTCAGATAAGGTAAAAACACCTTTGGGTCAGGTAGAAAAAAGCTGCAGCAACCCTACCATGCCATCCATCTGTGCTTGCTTGGGGAAGGAGATTGCTGCACACGTTGGGGCTGCAAACGTGCATGGCATTGCCCAGGGGAACAGAGAGCTCTCTGCATGTCAGAAGCCAAAGGAGCTCCCTGAGGGGATGGGCTGAGAGGAAAATGGACTGAGAGGTGGAAAGCTGTAGGTGCATAGGAGTTGCTGTCCCCACTGTCCCCACAGCTCAGGACTAGCAGGAGTGCAGTGAGGCGCCAGGTCATGCCAAGCCACATGATCTGCGGGGTCGGAGCAGCGACAACAACAGGAACAATCTGTGGGAGAGGAACTTAGGATGAGCCCAACTTCTCTAAAAGTATAAAAAGACCCCGGGGGCCACAAAGGCACCAACTGCACACCCTCCTCTGCCGCCGCTGCCACCACGCAGCCCCTGACGGTTGGAGCTGGCGTTGCCCTGGCGTTGTGCAATACAGTGGCTGTGCTCTCGGCATCAGCTCGCTGCTCGCTTTCTCTGCCAGAAAAGGAAACACAACCGCACCGATGTGCCTTTGCAAGAGAGCAAACGGCTCTGCCCTGCATGGGCTGCGTGCGGGGGGATGCTGGCACGGAAAGGGAGAGTGAGCAAACAGCACCTCAAATCCCATTAGAAAGCAGCAGAGGAGGAAACTGCGAGGAAATTGCAAGGAAATCTGCTTCCTGTAAGAGAGACTCACGCAGCTCAAAGCGGGAGTGGAGCCGCTTCATTCAATCTGCTGACAACTCAAGCAGATTGGCAGCACCTTGCTGGCTGGCCAAATGCTCGCAGCAGGTTGCTCCTGCTGTGCATGCTCTTCTTTTGTAAAGAAATCCCCCCCCCCAGCCCCAGGTAGTGCAGCAGGAAAGTGACAGCCTGAAAGGACCACAGCACTGTGCTTTGGAAATGGAGAAGTGCTGTTGCCCTGCTGCTTGGCATGCAGATTGTTCACTCCATAGGCAGCAGGGATGTGGTGCTCAGAGCTCAACCTCAGCTTGGGGCATCCTTCCTCAAGCATAGAGCTGTACCCTTATCCACTGAGCCTCCAGGTCAGCAGCTCCAACAGGGACCATGCAGCAGCCTGCAATTTAAGGATTTTAGCTTGACTTCACTCTGGAGAGTAAAATGTTTTGGTGATTGGAGAGAATGGACTAGTGGTCCAATGATGGTAAACTCTGAGCACTCCTGCTCAAACCCCTGGGGGGGGATGGTCACAAATCCGTAGCAGAGATTCCAGGAATTCTGATTTATAACCAATAGCAATGGGGAAGAAGCAGGCAGAGATGTAGCTTCTGACTTGAAAGTACTGCTTGGAGGTGGACACCTGCTATGCAGTGCTGAAGGGGAAGGTCCTCGGTATTCAGGCTGCTCTCCTTCACATGTCACCTCCTGATGCTGGGAGATGTCCCAGGGCTGAAAAGGAAAGTGAAAGCCCTCTGTCATGCCCATTTCCCCTCAGCAATGCTTGTTCACCTGGAGAGCTTGCACAGAGTGATGGACTGGGAAGGTAACCTCATCTCCAGGCAGTGCAGGGATGAAACCCCTCTGTGCCCCTCCTGTTCTGCTGCATGACCCTCCTGCTCCCCATGCGTGGGTCTGGACCCATCCCAGCTGCTGGAGGTCTCCTGGGGACATGGGATTTGCCCAGAAGCATGAAAAGATATTCATACAGCTACTGGGAGGCGGGGTTGTGAAAGGCCAGCGCACTTTTTTTTTTCCTCTAACAAATGACCTTTGTCTTTCCTTTTATTTTCATTTTCAGGCTCTGGCCTTCCAGAGGTCAGGCGGTTTAAGAATCTTGGCAGGATGAAAAAAGCAGGATTCATCCCCCTAATTGCTTTATCTCTCTGGCCACCACGTCATCCTGCTTCGGCCAAGGTCAGTAATTTTCCTAAATCATCATATCCCAGAACGCCACAAGTCAGAGCCCGGAGGACACATGGAACTCATGTCAAAAGGCACAGCCTTTGCACGAACACCCATCGCCTCCTCGGCTTTGTCTCTCCACTTGAGAGTCTGTTCAGTTCTTGTTTTGCAGAAAAAGGAAGAATGATTCTGATGTAACAACAGGACTCCGGGAGCTGGAGATTTATGGTGGAAAAAAAAAAGCAAATAGCAAGCAGCTCTTGATCAAGTGGTGAGAAAGCATCTGCAGCGAGCTGTCATTGCTTTGCCTCTTGAGTATGGCTGATTGCATGGGGTCGTACCCACCTGGGGCAAGGAGCTGCCCTAAGCATCCATCAGCTAGATGCGCTGCTCTTAATTAACCCTGATTAATTACCAGGTGAGAACACGTCCTCCCCTGTGCACTGAGAGCAGCACAACCAACCTGCAGTTAAACATTGACAAGTTGCCTCCACGGTGGATTTCCAGGAATCTGTTGAGCTAAGGTCATCCTTTCGGATGTGCTATGAGGCTGATTTAAATACATACTGGGAAAGGTTCTTTTTCAGCCTTTTGTTGCCATTAATGGGTCAGCACAACATATTCCTGTTGTGCACTGGTGGGCTGGTAGCTCCAGCTGGAGGGCCATGTGGCACTGAGTGTGCCATGTGAAGTGCTGCCCTGGGGGATTGCCTTCCCATTGATTCCTCTCCTTTAATTGCTCCTTGAGCTCGCACTGCGAGCCATGGAAACAGCTCTTAATCCATCTCCTTAATACCTGTGCTTTATTCCTTCCCATTAGTAATTGGATCATCAGCTCTTTGAAAGTAGAAGTGGCACAAGTGCTTTGCTTTCATCTCTCTCACAGGTAAGCATGAAAGTCTCGGTCAAGAATACTGCACATCCCCTATGCTTTCCCACCTCTGTCTCAGCAGAGCATTTTTCTGTTCATTTGTGGAGTTTCAGCCTGGGAGATTTTCCCCATGGTACTAATTTTTTTCTTCTTGCAACCGAAGTGCATTTGAGAATTCATTTCTGAAACTTCCCTGCTGCTAATTTTACACCAGGGGATCATCAGAAAGAACGCGAGAGAAATGAAATCTGTTATTTTGGTGGCTGCATCACCCTACAAGGGCTGATAGGCAAAGGGAAACCCAGGGACCGCTCCTCTGCTCACCAATACTGAATCTCTTATCTCAGTTCCAATAGGTTTGTGTGATGAAGACCCAACCAGTGCCCAACCTGACATTATTCAACCCACTTTCAGCAGTGGCACCTCTATTTTTTCACTTGGTAAGGGCTCTGCCTTCTAACCAAACACTTCAATGTGATTATGTCACATCGGCATCTTAAGCACAACCAGTATGAGGAAATACATAGGTGTGCTGGGAATAGAGACGTTCCTGGGGAGCTTATTCATTTTACAGGGCTGCCTTAGGCTAAGATTTGGGACTGGGTGAGGTGGGAGCCTAACTTTACCCTGTGGCAGATTGCTTCAAGTGACCCTTTTTCCCTCCTCCAGTAATTTGCTCCACGTTCTGTCCAAGTCTGGAATTTAAATACAGTGAGATCACATCCGTGAATTTTTCTGCTATTTGTGAAGGTGCGTGATAAGTACTGATGGGGGATTGGGATGTAAGCACTGGCTGGGGAAAGGTGCAGGGTTTGGGGATCTGATGGGACTGCACTGATCAGGGGTCAAAGCTTCCTTGAGTTCATCTCGCTTGAAAAAGACAGGTAATTGCAGATCCTGCCTCAGGTCAGAACAAAAGCCAGAAAGGATGCTCAGGGTCAGAGTAGGAAAGTGGTTTCCTTCATGGCTCGTTAGTTATCTGTCTCATCCGCTTCTTCTTGAGGGCAGGGTACAGCAGTTCTCTCACTGCTGAGTAAAGATTGGCAAGGGCTGTGTGGCTGTGCCTGGAAAAACCACGTGAAGATCCAGACATCTTCAGTTCTGGAAGGATTTGTTTTGGCATCTAGTGATGCTCTACATCACAGGATCAGAATTGTTTGAGTTGGAAGGGACCTATAAAGGTCATCTAGTCCAACTCCTCTGCATTGAACATGGACATCTACATCTCGATCTGGGTGCTCAGATCCCAGTATCAGCCCACAGTGTGAATTTGCAGGTGATCCTGCCTCTCAGAGCTGGGATCAACTTGTGTCAACAAATACAAGTTTGTTGTATTTGGGGGTGTAAGCCATGTTCAACCTCGGAATTGTTCCCAGGACCATTCCCATCAGCAGTTGTGGTGCTTTCTTGACCCCCAATTAATTGGTTATCGTCACCTTAGGTACTCAAGATGCCCAACAGTTCCTCCACTGTATCTCAAGGCCTTCTGGGACTCCATTTTTGAGCCAAGACTGTGCCCACAAGAGGCGTCACCTCCTGCCTGGTGAGCTTTTTCCCCTTTCCTGGCCCTGTGATGTGCCAACAGAGCAGGTCATGGGACAGCCTGCCCCTCAACGCCCCCACCGCATCTCCGTGCGGTCCATGTTTGACTGATTATTTTTTATTGGAGAGGCCAGATTTTGACCATAAAAGGGAAGAATGGAATGTTGGACGACAGCCCCGATTGGCTGAGCACCTTCTCGTGATGGTTTCGGGGGAAATAACCAGGTCGGAGTCATTTTCCTCTCCCCCCGTCCCGAGTCAAGAATGAAAACAATGAGACCAAACCGTGTGGTTCACCATTGAAACCAAGACAGGACTTTTTGTGTCTGTGCCTCCTACTGTTTTTGGTTCCACCTGCATGAAACTGAGCCCTCACTTCTGTGTGTGCGCGGCAGCTCTGCTTCCCATCCAACATCTCTGTGGCCACCACTGGTTGATGCTATCTTGGAGGTGAATGGGAGTGATTTGGTGGCCACGTTGGCCAGGAACCACAACTGCCTTCTGCCAACCTGTTGGGAGAACCCAAGAACCTCCTTCTTGTGGTTGTGTATCCTATATCCACAACCAAAACCTGGCAGAACAAAGTGCCTTTGTGCTTGGACATCCCTCCCACCCAGCTGCACTGTGGCTGCCCTCATTAGATAATTTCTATGGTTAAAATAGGACTTCACTCTCGTGACTCATTTGCCTAAAATGTGCCACCAGCACTGACTTACAACCTTTAATAAAAATGATAAAGAAGCTGAGAAGGTTTCCTGGAAACGTTGTCAGCCTTGAGTTGGGAGCAGATGTTGGCAGCAAGCAAAGTTCTTTCAAGCTATAAAGGCATTTTCCTGTTTAATGATTACCCTGAGAAATCTCGAGGCTGAATCAGCTTCACCCTTCTGGGAAAGCCGCACCCAGAGAAATTCTCCTCTCGTCGCCTTCACCCAGTGGGAACAAGCTGGTGCTGTGGGTAACACTGGCCCTGAAGCCAGAAGCTGCTCCCAGTTGTCACCAATTTCTTCCTGTTTGCCCTCCATTTGGGGCAGCTCTGGTGCTAGTCCTAGTGGGCTCTGAGCCAGCCCTGGTTAAGAAGAAATTCTTCTATTAGCTGCATTCTCAAGGTACGGTGTTTTTCCTACAAAAACTCTTCTCAGCCCCCTGCTTGCAGGAATCCCTTTTGCAAGGGGAACATTCCCAGTGCTGGTTGTTCCAGTGCTCACTGAAGCTGCTTTGGTACTAAGTGCAAATCTTCTTCCCTGTTGCTCCTGATGTCAGCATTCTCCCTCTTTTTGAGGCAGCACTTTGCAGGTAAGCTCCAGAGACCTTCCACCATCATCCACCTTTCCATCAGGCCACTCGCTCTGCTCTCACCCCATGGGTACCATTTCTCTCCCACGACAGCAGTGCCTTGCATCACTTCACCACCTGCTGCAATTCCTCTTGTTGGTGCTATTTCTTCAGCAGCGACCGCAGCGATGAGCACTGAGACCTATCGCAGCATCACTGCTTGTCCCCACAAAACCAGAGGGGAACCAAAGGATCTTACTCATTGGTATTGGAGCAGTGTACCCCATCACCTCCCTCCTGCTTCTGGGCAGCGGTTTGGGAGAGGAGGAAGAGGTGGCTGTGCTCATCTTGGGGCAGAGAGCTTGTTCCTGGTGTCGTTCTCCACCATTGTGGGTTATCTGCAATGCTTGGGTTTTGGATAGCCAAAGCCTGGAGGGAGCCTTTTTTGCTAGATAAGGATGATGGTGGCACTGGTAGGGCTGTTATCTGTGTGGTTCAGGGTAACGCTGGTGATGAAGCAGCTTTGAAAGCTGCAGCAGGAATATGGGTAGGGCCAACACAACCAAAAGTTTATGCAGTGGTTTGCTGCTGGTTTTGCTACACAGACTGGAGTCATTGGGTCCTTGGGTCTGAGCTGTGCTGCTCTACAGTGTGCATGGCATCAGCTGCTAGAAGCACAGCCTACATCCTCTGGGCATTGTGGATGTAGGCTTGTCCTCATAATATCCCATGGGCAGAGCTGTAGCAATGTCCCCACTGTTGAACACAGAGGTGAGGGGCTGCATTTGGAGCTCCCATTGCTCCAGCCTGGGGATCCCCAGGATACTGTGAGCCCTGATCCTGTGCAGGGTGCAAATGGGAAATACTGAGTGGGAGAAAAGCAGAAGATTTAGTGGTAACACAGACCTCACACAAAGCATGGCACCCCATCTCAAAGGGCTGTTTTTCCCTGCTAGGATGGGGACATTCATTGCCCTAGGCACAGTGATAGAGCCCAGCAAGCAGCAGGGAGAAGGGCAACCAGCAAATGAGCATTGGGGAAAAAAAATAATATGATAATAATTAAAACCCAAGAGCTGTAAGTAGATGACAGCTCAGCTGGGCCCTGTTCCTTATTTGCATAGCCTGGCTCTATCTGTATGAGGTGCCTGGCTACCAGATGTTAGCACATTTGCATGTATGGCGAAGGGAGGGGATGTGGCAGTCCCAGGGGTGTCACTGTTGGATGGAGATTGCCACCCAGTGGCTGTGCTCAGTGCCACCTTCAGCCCTGTGAGCACCTAAAAATACAGCATCACTGCTGCAGGCACGAATCTGCTGCTTTGCCTTCCATCTGCAATCTGGGTGCAGGGCTCAGGGCTACAGCTGTATTTTTGTATTGACATCACTATTAAAGAATTGCTCCTACTGTCAGCAGCACAACTATTTTTGCCCCTACAGCAAGTTCCTCACCCCTATTTTCACTAATTAAGTGAGTCTCACCTTCATATAAACACCTCCCTGTCAGCTGGTGGTGGTCCCTTTCAACTCAGCTGCTGTTAATGAAGCTAATTAGGAGCAGGGTGCTTTTGTTGCAGCATTGGCTGCTGCCTTAGCAGTTGTGTGCTTTGTAGGTGATGTGTCCTGGGGTTGTGTTTGGTAAAGGGATGGACTGCTTGGTTGTTCCTTTTTCCTGTTGCTGGAGCTATCAGGGCAGCATTGTCCTATGGGCATTACTTATGAAGCATCTCTTGAAAATGCTCTGAGCCTGCTAGTAGGCTTTCTGTAAAGCTTCCTAGTGAGCAGAAGTGACTCGGTTCTAAAGCTGAGGGAAGATGACAAGATGATCTCTTCAGGTGGAGTATTATTTCTTGCATGATATTTGGGAAGGCCCCAGTGCTCCACATGGGTTTGTTTCTCAGGGCTTGGCACCCCCAGGGCAAACCTAATGTCAGTCCTGGTGTGGCTCTGAGCAAGGCTTGGTGAAGAAGAAATCCCTCTATTAGTTGTGTTCCTGAGGCATAGGGAGCATCCTACAAAACCTCAGCCTCCTGCTTCCAGGATCACCCAGTGCTATTGCAAGGGGAATGTTGCTGCTTGTTGCAACCTGGCTCTGGGGTTGCTTTTGCTTTGTGCAAATTGCTCTGTGCTCTATAGCATAGAATGGCCTGGGTTGAAAAGGACCACAATGACCATCTGGTTTCAACCCCCCCCATGCTATGTGCAGGGTTGCCAAGCACCAGATCAGGCTGCCCAGAGTCAGGATATGGCCCAATTCCTCCTTGCAAGACAGCATTCGTGGGAACTGCTCAGCCATGGCTTAACTTTCTCTTGCTGCAAAATTTCTTCCCTTTGTGTCAGCATTTAGTTTACACTTTGCTCATCTGGGGGGGG